ACGTGCAAAAGTTGTAGCATTAGAGGAGGACTTACGCAAATCTCGTCAAGAGGCCTCTAATCATCAAAACCTTTGTCACCAACTAGAAAAGGTACAGGGTTTTCATCCTTTCTCTGTAGTCTCTATTTTTTTGTATTTTTTAATTCTAATTCTTGTTTTAATTTATGCAGGAGTTGAAGGACCTTAAAGATTGTGAAAAACAAATAATGCAAAAGGTGTGGTTACTAAAGAACAATGTTTGATTGCCCTGTCGAACTTCTAATTTTGTTATTTTGTTGATTAAGTCGTCACAAGCCTTTTATTGGTTTTTACATCTTTTTACATCGAGAGTTTGTCTACCTGCTGTAACGACACTTTGATTAGCAGAAAGCCAAAAACAGAATGGTCAAGAAACTGGCTCAACTTCAACTGTAAGACATAAGTAATAATCTTACAAGTGCTAGTGACCAAACTTACTGGTCCTTTATAGAGGGGAGTTTATTAGGTACAAGGGTATATTGAGTCTATTCTAGTATCTATCTTCCAATTGATATAGAACTCATGAAAGACCTCAAGGAGATCTTGTTAACAATATAGCAATAAATCTCCATGATATCTTGTTGTCATGAGGAAATAGATTGAGTCTTTTGACAGAAATCAAGCATGGGAACTAATGAGACCAGAAGACGGACAAAATTCAAGATAAGTTTTGCTAAAGGTATTGCTAGAGGGTATGGTCTCCTATGATAAATCATAGTTCTATATGTGTTTACCTGCTATGGTTTCCCTAATTGTCTTTTACTTGGAATAACTCAAGATGAAAACGGATTCCTTGCATTACAAGTTAAAAAAAAAAACATACTTATCTAAGCAAGAAGGACTCTTTTTTTTTTTAAATAAAAGTATTAAATTGTATTGAAGTAAAGGTGCCAAGGGGGCACCGCCCATTTACAAAAAAATTACAAATCAATTAAATAATCGACTATAGAACCGAGATCATCAAAGCATTCGATGTTATGTTCTAAAATAGTGGACCCGAAATAATGGAACCAGTTGTCAGTGATGATTCTAAAGTCGATTTCTTTTCCTTCGAAAGTACGATTGTTTCTTTCCTTTCAAATGACCTAAAATATAGTGAGATAGACGAGTCTAAAAATTTTCTTGTGACAACTCAATCATTCTCATACAAGTAGCTCCTCCAAAATTGATTTATGTTTGACCCAAGATAGTCCCATGAGGCCAAGAATAGTAGACCAAAGGCTGTGAGAGACGGACATCCCAAGAGTAGGTGATTACACGTTTTATTGCTGTTTTTGCAGAGAAAGCATCTATTGACAATTGTAAAGTCTCTTTTCATTAAATTATCTAGTGTAAAAATGCGGACTTTTGTTGCTTTCCTTGCAAACAAGAAATTCTTGGAGTGGCACCTGATTTCCAAATAATATTAGCTGGAAATTTTGTCTGTTCTTATGGAATATAGCTGACCAAAGTCTTATACAGGGACTTAACTGAAAACTTATCAGATTTAATGACAAAGTCTTATACAAGTAGCACTCTTCAGTCCAAGGAGAGATGACAATGTTCACCTATTGAAAAAAAAAATCTACAGAACTATTATTATAACGAAAGGTATTGTCTCATGATTAATAATAGGT